TACACACATCTGCTCAATTTACTACAGGCATTTGCTCAATTTACTACAGGCATCTGCTCAATTTACTACAGGCATCTGCTCAATTTACTACAGGCATCTGCTCAATTTACTACACACATCTGCTCAATTTACTACACACATCTGCTCAATTTACTACACACATCTGCTCAATTTACTACAGGCATCTGCTCAATTTACTACACACATCTGCTCAATTTACTACACACATCTGCTCAATTTACTACAGGCATCTGCTCAATTTACTACAGGCATCTGCTCAATTTACTACACACATCTGCTCAATTTACTACACACATCTGCTCAATTTACTACACACATCTGCTCAATTTACTACATACATCTGCTCAATTTACTACACACATCTGCTCAATTTACTACACACATCTGCTCAATTTACTACAGGCATCTGCTCAATTTACTACAGGCATCTTCTCAATTTACAACAGGCATCTTCTCAATTTACAACACACATCTGCTCAATTTACTACACACATCTGCTCAATTTACTACAGACATCTGCTCAATTTACTACAGGCATCTGCTCAATTTACTACAGGCATCTGCTCAATTTACTACAGGCATCTGCTCAATTTACTACAGGCATCTGCTCAATTTACTACACACATCTGCTCAATTTACTACACACATCTGCTCAATTTACTACACACATCTGCTCAATTTACTACACACATCTGCTCAATTTACTACAGGCATCTGCTCAATTTACTACACACATCTGCTCAATTTACTACAGGCATCTGCTCAATTTACTACACACATCTGCTCAATTTACTACAGGCATCTGCTCAATTTACTACATACATCTGCTCAATTTACTACAGGCATCTGCTCAATTTACTACAGGCATCTGCTCAATTTACTACACACATCTGCTCAATTTACTACAGGCATCTGCTCAATTCACTACAGGCATCTGCTCAATTTACTACACACATCTGCTCAATTTACTACACACATCTGCTCAATTTACTACAGGCATCTGCTCAATTTACTACATACATCTGCTCAATTTACTACAGGCATCTGCTCAATTTACTACACACATCTGCTCAATTTACTACAGGCATCTGCTCAATTTACTACAGGCATCTGCTCAATTTACTACATACATCTGCTCAATTTACTACAGGCATCTGCTCAATTTACTACAGGCATCTGCTCAATTTACTACACACATCTGCTCAATTTACTACAGGCATCTGCTCAATTCACTACAGGCATCTGCTCAATTCACTACATACATCTGCTCAATTTACTACATACATCTGCTCAATTTACTACATACATCTGCTCAATTTACTACAGGCATCTGCTCAATTTACTACATACATCTGCTCAATTTACTATATACATTTGCTTAATTTACTACATAAATCTGCTCAATTTACTACATACATCTGCTCAATTTACTACATACATCTGCTCAATTTACAATATACATCTGCTCAATTTACTACATACATTTGCTCAATTTACTACATACATCTGCTCAATGTTCTACACCCCCGTGTGGGTTCCGGGGCCCTGTTATAGGGAAAACAAGAATAGACCCACTGCCTACCTAAAAGCATGTTGTAAGAGTCGACTAATTGGCAGCTTCCTTCGAAGTCGGAGTGCATCTACCTGAAAGGCAAGGAACCAACAGTCTGAAAACACATGTTTCAGATCTGTAAAATGGATGCATACGCAACACTCAGGTTTTGGAACAGGACTACAGTCCAGAAGTGAATGAATGACCAGAACTTTCTACCAGAGTTTATAGCTGGTGAATGCAAAGAAGAATGTACTACATACATTTGCTCTATTTACTACATACATCTGTTCAATTTACTATATACATTTACTCAATTTACTACATACATTTGCTCAACACATACTGACTATAGCAAATGACAATTTTTATAATTATTTCATCTCAGGGATGTCCTTGTACAGACGAATGCTTAAAATTCCTTGGACAGCTTAAACGTTTTTGAAGGTGTCTTCTACAACTCACAGACATCAAACAGAAGCACTATTCCTCTTTTGGGGCCCTATTATAAGAAAGTCTCTAGCGATAATAATGTGGTAGTTTCCTCTTGCTCAGACTATGTCCTCAGACTCTGGAAAACATGGACAAAGAAGAAAAGAAATACTGACATCCTAACAGATCTGAAAATTAAGCAATACTGGGTAGTAACAGAATCCTGTCTTGGAAGCTGAAACATTCTGGCCTTATCAAGCACCATGTCGGATAGGAAAAAAAATAATAGCAGAAGGCTCAGTACCTGGAAAGTTGGGCAGGGGCTCTTCAGCGTGAAGATGGGCACAGGATTTAAGTTACACCTTGGGCAGGGAAGTGGCAGGGGCTTCCAGCGTAAAGATGGGCACAGGATATAAGTTACACCTTGGGCCGGGAAGTGGCAGGGGCCCTCCAGCGTGAAGATGGGCACACTGTATAAGTTACACCTTGGGCAGGGAAGTGGCAGGGGTCTTCCAGCATGAAGATAGGCACAGGATATAAGTTACACCTTGGGCAGGGAAGTGGCAGGGCCCACCAGCGTGAAGATGGGCACAAGATATAAGTTACACCTTGGGCAGGGAAGTGGCAAGGGCCCACCAGCGGGAAGATGGGCACAAGATATAAGTTACACCTTGGGCAGGGAAGTGGCAGGGGTCCTCCAGCGTGAAGATAGGCACAGGATATAAGTTACACCTTTACACCTTGGGCAGGGAAGTGGCAGAGGTCCTCCAGCGTGAAGATAGGCACAGGATATAAGTTACACCTTGGGCAGGGAAGTGGACGAGGTGGGGAAACTGGTGAGTTTCATTCAGGCAGACTATGATGAGAGCATCAGTCTGTAAAGGACCTCCTACATGATGATGATGGTTAGAAAAAAGACAAACTGAAACATAGTGCAGCAGCTGGAGGTGTCTAGAAAGAGAGATAAAGAAAGACAATAAGAGAGAAAATTCTTGACAGCCTTTTGTAACGGCATAGAAATGTGTCAACACACAACATGGTGTTAGAAACTGCAAGATCTGAAGAAGCATGATCACTCATGCCAGTCTGTATGGCATGTTCTGTTGATGATGATAGTTTCATCTAAATGCATACACATGTTGTAATTGTAACAAACTCTGAAAGCATGCTGAAAAAGGTGAAGACAGGGATGCTTCGAGCAGAGTGGCAAGCTTCACTGGAAAGGTCATGAGTGGAGAGCATACTTTGGATCTTTTCTCCAGGTCATATGGATATTGCAACCCTTCGGCCTTGATTCCATGACAGGTACCGTAAATCTGGGAGAAATGTGGCTTTTCCGCCTACCCTCGAGAGTGAACCCGAACCACAAGGAGTTCTTCACCCGGTCACCGCGAAGTCAGGTTTAGCCAACTACACTAGAGAGGTAGGCATCCAAAGTTCTAGGTACCATGTTCTCTCCTGAAAATAAGACTGGGTTTTGTATTAAGTTTTGCTCCAAAAGACACCTTAGGGCTTATTTTCACAAAGTAGCACATTTACAGTCTGATATCTAAGAAAAGTTGTCAGGTAACAGGACTGACTCTACTGCACAGTTTTAACCAATATGACATGGTCACTTTCTGTTCAGATTGTTCTCCCACCAACAAGGAACTCAGCAGCTCCAGCGACAACCAAAAAGTAAATAAATTCAAACTGCAATGGCAAACTCAAGAAAAGAATCCAAATTGAACCAATAACACTTAGAGTGTTAGGCACAGTTAAACTATTTCCTCATAGAGAATCCTCTCATGCCTACATGATAGATCCTCATGAAGGACACATTGTTTTGCCAGAGACAGGACTACAAACCATCTAAAGAGAGAAGTAAACCCGGATATCAATACCCATAAATAATAATAACAGATATTTCCACCATAACAATAATCACTTGAAAAGGTGATTTACACTTTGTTTGATCATCAATATCAACTCCTGTGTAGACACTGCTCTCACACTTCTGAAACAACCAACACTTTCTCATTTAATCTTTTACATGTGGTGTAGAGATTTGGGTCACAGGCATGAGAGAGAGTGAAGGCCGTTGTGGTGTGTATACCTCACCTTGGTTGTCATCAGGCTCTGTGCTAGTCTTACGTATTCTCATGCAAGACTTCTGCCATACATCCCCCACATGATGTATAATGGCCCACATAAACATAAACCGAACATTAAAGTAGTCTTCTTCTTCTTGTTCACCGGCTGTGAATTCCGGCGGTAAGTCGAGGTTGTTCGTCCAAAATGGACTTTTGGCTTTTACCTTGACCTGAGTTTTGCATGTACATCCGTTTTACTGGCTTATTTGTTTGCAATTCTCGTTCCCCGCCTCTCCGGCAGATGTACTCCGACTTCGGAGGAAAAAGTAGTCTAACGTGCTGAAGGAGATTATGCCCACTTCTGTGGTCATCACAGTCCCAGACCTGTGGGCTGCTCCCTGTTGATCTCCAAAGGGGCACAGCCCGTGATGAGTGAGGAGCTAAATACACAGATGTAAGGTTAAGCAGTCACGTACAGGACGTGAAAATTCCTTGGGTAAGCCTAGGACCAGAGACCATCATGTCTCAGCTCTGCATTTTTGGAAACCTCATCTGTTCGCTCATTCCCATTACTTCCTCCAACAATCAGCAACTACCCCTGGCTTCATGGACCAAATATAACAGAACCAATCAAATAATGGCATTCTCTGTGTGGGTTCTGTGGCCCCCTTCCTTTGAAAGGGAGGTGGGGGGGGCAATAAACCCTGTGCTGCCCAAACAAGCAAGCTGCAAAAGGCATTTGCATAAAAAATTGTAGCCTAGCTATAAACAACAAAGTATGCCCCCCCCCCCTCCCCCCCATGGCCAACATAGAAGAAGAAGAAGATGAAAGATGAAAAAGAAATGGCACTAGGCTGCCAAAAATAGCATTTTATAAATGGCAACACTCTCAGTTAAAATAAATTTTTAAATGTCAAACAAACCTGAAACCTCCATGACTATCCTGAATAATCCAGAAGTTATCCATCATGGAGTGATCTACAGAGGAAATCCACTGCCAGTGGAGATGAGATGAGTTGTCCACTGTCAGGCGCCCATAGCTGTTAGTAGCTGGCCCAGCAAGGTGAAATGCTGACCAGTCGGCTGGCAAGATCATTTAGAGGTCAAAATGTTAAACTAACATCAGATTATGGAGGTACCTTTTCGGTACTTCAAAGTTAAATATGTATGTGTATATATATATATATATGTGTGTGTGTGTGTGTGTGTGCGCGTGCATGCATGCACGCTCGCGCACAACAGACACCCAACAGAGGAAATAATATTGGTGCATTTTAATACTTTAAAGCAATGTTATGTCCTGCAAAAAAAAGTCAACTAAGAGATATTTTTTTTTTTTAATAAGTTAGCATACTCTAATAAAATGTAAACATTTAGAGACTATCATGACAATGGCTTAGATTTATGGAGAAGAGCACAGCATATATCAGGCGTTTCTTGGAAATGAAGGAGATAAAAGTTGCACAAATAAAGCAGTCAGTTATATATCATAATTCCCTATGTGGGTTTCTCAGCCCCATTGTGGGGAAAGAAGAACAGACCCACTGCCTGCCCAAAAGCATGTTGTCTAATTGGGAGCTTCCTTTGAAGTCGAAGTACATCTGCCTAAGTTGAGCTGAGTTGAGTTGAGTCAAGAATTGACATCACTGCCTGAGAGGCACGGAACCAACAGTCTGCATGCAAATGAGTCAGATTTGTGAAACAGATGTACATGCAACACTCAGGTTCTGGAACAGGACTAGAGTCCAGAAGTATACGAAAAGCCAGAGTTTACAGTTGGTGAACGCGAAGAAGAAGGTACAATAATACATTTAATTTCTATGAAGAACAGCGAATTTGAACCATACTGTTGGCGTTATGCCAGCTGCCTTGACTTTCCTAGATACCTGGCACCCATTGTATGAGACTGTATTGACCACAGTGTCAACAAAATATAAACCCCAATGTGGTGAGTTCCCTGGACATGATGCTACTGTGATCAAAAATGACAAAAAAGTTCATGGAACTGCCCAGAAATATAGCGATATTTTCTCAACACTACCGAACTGAATTAAACTGCGCTGTATTACCACAGCTTGTGGACCGGTGCATATGATTTCAACAGCACTTGTTCTAAATCTATCATCATCTTTAGCCCTTTTTTTTTCTCCACCCTACAAATAAATCTGGAAAAGGCTACTTGAAGCTAAGCGCGTGCGTGTGTGCGTGTGTGTGTGCAGGCGTGCGCGCGCCATGATGGGAATGATTTATGGTGATGCCTCAATCTCTCCCATAAAACAATTTTCAGACCACTGTCCAAAAGTGATAAGAAAGGTCAAGGTTTTAATAAAATGTCAGCCATGGAAATCTAAACCTAATAAGCCGAGGAGATTGTGAAATGCATTCACTAACCTCTCAGTGAACTACCATGAGGATGTTGTGTGGATCTCTAAGCTTTTCAAATGTAGAAATCTGACATAAGGGGGCAGCTGATAGAGGGGCAGCGGCTGATGGAGGGGCAGCGGCTGATGGAGGGGCAGCAGCTGATGGAGGGGCAGCAGCTGATGGAGGGGCAGCGGCTGATGGAGGGGCAGCAGCTGATGGAGGGGCAGTGGTTGATGGAGGGGCAGTGGTTGATGGAGGGGCAGCGGCTGATGGAGGGGCAGCTGATAGAGGGGCAACAGCTGATGGAGGGGCAGCTGATGGAGGGGCAGCTGATGGAGGGGCAGCGGCTGATGGAGGGGCAGCGGCTGATGGAGGGGCCGCAGCTGATAGAGGGGCAGCGGCTGATGGAGGGGCCGCAGCTGATGGAGGGGCAGCGGCTGATGGAGGGGCAGCGACTGATGGAGGGGCAGCGGCTGATGGAGGGTCAGAGGCTGATGGAGGGGCAGTGGCTGATGGAGGGGCAGCTGATGGAGGGGCAGCGGCTGATGGAGGGGCAGCGGCTGATGGAGGGGCAGCTGATGGAGGGGCAGCTGATGGAGGGGCAGCTGATGGAGGGGCAGTGGCTGATGGAGGGGCAGCTGATGGAGGGGCAGTGGCTGATGGAGGCGCAGCTGATGGAGGGGCAGTGGCTGATGGAGGGGCAGCGGCTGATAGAGGGGCAGCTGATGGAGGGGCAGCTGATGGAGGGGCAGCTGATGGAGGGGCAGCTGATGGAGGGGCAGCTGATGGAGGGGCAGTGGCTGATGGAGGGGCAGCGGCTGATGGAGGGGCAGCGGCTGATGGAGGAGCAGCTGATGAAGGGGCAGCGGCTGATGGAGGGGCAGCGGCTGATGGAGGGGCAGCGGCTGATGGAGGGGCAGCGGCTGATGGAGGGGCAGCGGCTGATGGAGGGGCAGAGGCTGATGGAGGGCAGCTGATGGAGGGGCAGTGGCTGATGGAGGGGCAGCGGCTGATGGAGGGGCAGCGGCTGATGGAGGGGCAGCGGCTGATGGAGGTTCAGGGGCTGATGGAGGGGCAGCAGCTGGCCAAGTGGTTACAACGTAGGGCTCTCATGTGGGAGACCCGGGTCTGACCCCTGGAAAGGTGACATAGTTTTTTTTCTGTCGGGTCAAAATTAAACATCCTAACCTTCAGTCCGTGGTGACAGCAAAGCCATGCGGCCCTAAATCCTCAGGCTCACGACCCCCTGTCTACACCGACCCCAAGAATTGGTAGAACAGACAGTAGTGACAGTTTATCAGATGGAAGAGATTAGGACCACTCCAGGTCTAGATGAAACTAGAGAGATCTCAGCTCTGTATGTGTATTTCATACAAGCAGTCAGAACCCCAATATGTCAACAATGGAGTTACACACACAACAAATACTAAGATTTTCCAAATGTTTGAAGGTAGGTACCAAACATAGAGACAGCTGCACATAAAACAGAGAGATTTTAAAAAATGTGTACACAAAAGAGTTCAATGGGAGTAGACCATGAGGCTGATCAAGAAAAGGGTTGAGAGATAATATACAGGCAGACCAATAAACACTTGAAGTCACCAACTGGAAAGAGAAGGCCAGGAAGAAATACCAAACACATTTAACAATGATGTAGGCACATATTTAGTGGAGGTGATAGCATGCAGCATATGGTATCATCAGATTCTCAGAACTCTTATAAATCAGAACTATCACAGTTAGTGGCAGTCACCATATCCCTGGCACAATCTGATCCAAGCCTGAGAAACACTGATTCATAAGAGGTGGTACTAACTCATAATGCAGTCATCTTGTATGTGTAAGAGACATAAGGTCAATTCTAGATCACATAACTCAAACATAAGATGGGCTTTTCAGCCAGCTGAAGATCACTGACATCAAGTTGACATTATCAATGCTATACGGACTACACTGATGGTATACGAGTCTCAGACGCTAATCTGATTATGTGACCTGAAAATAAAGCCTGGATAAACCCATCTATGCCATCTTAAATGTTTAGATAGGACACATAACAACCAACTTCTTATAGGAATAATCTAGAGAGGTGACTTGGTGAGGCTGCCGTTTTGGAGTAATGAACACAGACGGGAATGCCAAATGTGCAATGAGGTCGATTGTGACAACATTACCCATCACTGAAAGTGAAACCTATCAGTAATCAATCTGTTTGGATTTCCATAACTACAGCTTGTATCCCATAATTCTATACAAGGCTCTTAGGGGAGGCCATGATGGATACATTCATAGTAAAGTTGTCCATTGTTCCTATTATCAGTAAAACATGAAAGTGTGCATTCTATGTGTACATGCTATGTAGAACCAATTTTAACACATGGCTGTGAATTCTGCACAATTAATAAACAAGCCAAACATTTTTGCTGAGGTTTAGGAAATGTGGTTTTACAAAAGAATTCTTAGAATTTCTTTGACAACTACACACACACAAACACACACAAAAGCAACCCAAATGTTTCAAAAAGGATAAGGCTCAAAAGAGAATCACACACACACACACACACACGCACAAGCAACCCAAATGTTTCAAAAAGGATAAGGCTCAAAAGACAATCACACACACACGCACAAGCAACCCAAATGTTTCAAAAAGGATAAGGCTCAAGAGACAATCACAAAAATTAGAAAGAGATGGTCATTTTTAGTCATGTTATGGGAGGAAGAAAACTGGAACATATTCTGACCACTGGAAAGATCTGTAGGGGCAGAAAAAAAAAGAGAGAGACAGAGAAAGACAGCAGAAAAGGATTCTTTATAGCTTTTCCTGATGACATGGGGGGTGACAGCACAAGGACTGATACATGCTGGCGAGGACTGAGAATGTAGAAAGACATGATCACCCAAATCAGTCAGCAAAGCACTTGATGATGATGATGATACAAGTGTAACAACGGCATAGCCATTCACTGTTATCATAATCATCAATTTCTACTTTTAGTGTTAAGCAATGTGGCAAAGAACAGTTTGCGGTCCACAGCTCAATCAGTAGCATTAGCTTTTGTCAACCACATGTAGAATGCAATGTTGTCAATACACTGTCTCCTTGAATGCCTTATTGCTTTCACATCAGATGTTCCTAGGTGTTGCATCTGTGATGTCAGCCCATGATTTCTACTGCTTGCTCCTTTGCTGGTTGTCTCCCCCTATTCTGTAGCAAATGATAACTACATATATACATACAGAAAAGACATTTATTTGCAAGCACCTGTGACTGGACTTGTGCCATTGGCATCACTTGTGCCTCCAACATTCTGCCCTCCTGAATTTGAACCAATGATGACCTCAATTGGCGCCTTGGGGTTAAGGTAGGAGTCTGTGACCACCACACCCTTGTATTGGGGCCATGTCCGCTCATAGACAGTGTGACGGGTCTCAATCACCAGATCAACAGCAAAGATGTAAAACATGTCTTCAAAACTGGAGAATGATATAACAAATTCAAATGTCAACAACTTCGGTAAAAACAAATTTATGTCCTTAAAAAGAACAAGCAAAAAAAAAAAATACAAAATGCTAGAAAACAAAAGTGCTGTAAAATAAAGTCTACATATAACAGCTAAATAATCTAAATATAAAAAGAATAAGAAATAGTCAGGAATTAATTTAAAAGTGCAGTCAATCAAGACTCTTCTACTGTAGAGGTGTTATGTCACTTCATGGTCTTACCTCTGTACTGGCATTAATACACACATGACTGAAAAAGTAGTTACTGTGTACAAGTGCTCCATAGTATCCATGTTTTTGCTTCTCCATACCTCATGAATACTTTTCCTGCTGCCTCCATAAAATGTGTCATCCTATTCAAGTAGAACTCTTTAATGGTCATCTGGCTGCATGATAAACTTAACAAGGTTGGGTGCTAATCTGCACAAATCACTTTTTCAATGTGGTGGTCACAGAAGGTTTTCCACATTTGTAATCATCTGCTGTGAAAATCCCAGCTAATTTGAAAGTCTGGTTACATTTTAGACACTGAAAACAACTGAAACAGTTTTCTTACAGTCCTACATTGAGTACGACTGAGACAGTCTTTTTTCACAGTCCTACAAAGAGTACAAATGAGACAGTTTTCTTATAGTCCTACACGAACTGAGACAGTTTTCTTTTAGTCATGTTGCAGCATTTGAATAGTTTTAACTAATCTAAAGCACAAAAATGTCCTGCAAACATGTTGCCCTTCAAGATCCTTCACTGTTGGACTTTCAAAAGATAATTGCACAACACATGCTTCACTTTACAAAAAGTATAATATCAACAATCCATAACAAAATAAAAATAAACAGTCAAGGATCCTTTTGTTGTCACTGATGTATTACAGACACTGTGTTAGACCCATATTCTGTACAGATCAATTGATGCTGGATAGGTGATGTGGCCAACAGTACACCGGCCACCTTTACTTTCGAGCAAAATTCCTAGTACCTATTTTAGGCTGGGACAACCTAGAAGTCATTACAAAAATCTGACCCAGGGTAGACTCAAAACTGTCTGGCTAGTTTTGTTTTAAGGCTGAAGGTAAATGTTATTGGTACATTTAGATGTAGTACTCAGCTCTATGACCTGCTTACTTAGTGGGACATGAATGATTCAGGTACTGAGGTAGAGTCACAGGAACACGATGTCATAGACCATGTTGCAGGGAGGGGAGAAATCAGTAAGGGAATCTGAATAATGAGGAAAATTATTGCAGACAGGGTAAGAGCAGAGTGACTCAGAAGTATGTTAAATAAATGTGATGGCAATAAAGGTCCTGAAATGTTCTACTCCAACTGTGGAAGAATCTTTTTAACATGAGTCAAAACTTGCTGGTCACACTCGCCCTCACCATGGGCTGCGATTTCTACACCTCCCTATGGCAAAGCATAACTCTACTGTCCGGAAAGACAGAAAGCTGCCTACAAATCTATGAACTTGTGAAGCTGATCTTAAAATCTAGTTTCTCTTTAGACTGCCACTGTACACACCTCAGTATGTATACACATGAGCAGTGACCACAGCAAATGAAGAATGATATATGTGAAGTAGATAAAGTACCACCGAGTGAGTGAGTGGTCTATAAATATTTGAGTTTAGCATGAAATGCCTCATGCACCACTGCCGTAGAAGAGTCCTCTGCTTACAATTTACTTATTTACAGAATATAAATACCTCATCATACATTAATAGTGAACCCCCTCTCCACCCCCCCCCCCTCCCCCAAATAAACAAATTAAGGATGACATCATGTATGAAGTACATACAAACATCAATGTACAGCCACGGTAGAAGATGGAAACAAATTTCTATAATACAAAAATGAAAGATGTTAGAAACTAAACAAATCAAATGAGAAAACTTTCCAAACATTTGGAAAACCTCCGTACCCGTGTCTGACTTTGGAAGTGTTCTGTAAGCAGTCATCCCCGTCCAGGACACCGAATGAACAATACATCGGCTGACTGCCAATGGCAATGATCCATGGAGTTTCTGATCTTTTCTTTTTGGCTTCTTTCAAGTCATTCACTATCCAGTCCTGTTGAGCCTTGGCATTTTTACTGTCAGCCTCAAATAGGACGTCTGTTGAGTAGCTGTTCAGGGATGAGGACAACAAGGTTATACAATTGAATTACTGAAGGGGGCAAGCTATTGGAGGGTGATATTTTATCAGAAAATAACATCAGTAACTATAAGAATGACATGCCTGAGAAAGGCTTTACCAGTGAACAGAACAAATGAAATCAGGAATGAGGTCATAAGAGAATAAGCTGGCATAGAACCAGTAATGAATTACATTTACAGACACAAAATAAACTGGTATGTCCACTTCAGAGAGAATACTGTGTGATGTTATACAAGATATTTACCAAATGGGGAGAGGGATGTAGAGTTCAAGGTAGACAAAGAACAAGGTGGAAATATAAGCTTGAGGAAACAAATATTACCAAGTATCTGTGGTCAAGGCAGCATAAGACTAAGAACTAGACCCTGCACCTCCTGCCACACCTGAAATGGTAAAAAGAGAAAATGATTTTTGGACATGTTCAAATGAGAAATAAACCCGAAAATTTAGTGATAACCAGAAAACTTGATGGGAAAAGTGCAAGGGCAATACAAAGAGATAAAAAGTTGGAAGGTTTGGCCATGTGGCATAAGTAAGACAAGAACACAGACCTGACCAAGAGCTGCTGATTGTGTAAGACCGCAAACCATAAACACCTTCTATGCTTATCTGCAGGCACATGATGATGATTCTGATGGTGAATACAAGTGAAAAAGCAAGTAATTTATTACAGTCTATCTTATCTTTACAAGATTATTGCAACTGATTGCAAAAGATTATTATTTTTCTCCAGGCCAGTGAGGGAAGAAGCAGCTGTAATTATTTGATGTGATTAGTCTGCCTGTCATTTATTCTTCTTTGTCTAGTAGTGAGTAATAAACACAACTGCTGTGCTAATCAGGCCTGATATATGACATAATAAATCTGTCTGGTTGCTGCCCGTCACTTCATATGCAAGCTAGTGCCCCACTGTCTGAGAGCCCATGGTTTCTGTTTTCCGTAACGTAACTCTGGCACTAAGTCCTGGTTGTTCATGCACTTGTGGAGTTTAGTCTTTTTCTTGAACCTGAGTGTTGCGTGTACATTCATTCTAAAGATTTGATTTTAGTGTGTGTGAACTGTTGATTCATTCTCTCAGGCAGATGGACTTAGACAAAGAAAAAAAATGATCCAATCTACACCACTAGCCAGGCTCCTGATTAGGAACTTATTTCTAGGATGAACATGGAGAGGTGTAACCCTAGTGCTGATGCCCCATTTCATGTGATTCAACACACTACATCCCAGATCTAACTCAAGACCTAGCATTTTTCAAACCACCGGCAGTATCTGTTATGGGTCCACCTTAATGCTTTATACCACTTGCCTGTCACTCTTTATTGTTTCAATTTCTGGAAAGCTGAAACTCCTGGGCAATAAATCATAAGGTAAGTGAGCAAAATCAAATCCATAACCATATCAGATGCCAGATCCCCGTGTGGGTACTAGGGTCCCATTGTGGGGAAAACAAGAATAGACCCACTGTCTACCCATCAAAGCATGTCGTAAGAGTTGATTAATGAGGAGCTTCCTTCGAAGTCAGAGTGCATGGGCAGGAGCCGCAAGGAACAACCAACTGCACACAAAGAAGCCAGTAAAACTGATGTAAATGTAAAACTCAGGCCCTGACACAAAGCTTAAGTCCAGACAGACAAACAACCAGGACTTTCCACCACGGCTTACAGCCAGTGAACAAAGAAGAAGAATAGAGGAGTGGTGAGTTTTATCAATGTCTGCTCCAGACCAGCCACCCAAAGAAGAAGATGGTAAGTAACAGAGGAAAGTGATAGCTCCAGTAGCACAGCTGCTAGATGCTCAACCACTGCCCCCAAATATATTGGGTTCAAAACCTATGGTGGATTTTATATTTCTTCAGAACTGACCTGGCTTCTTAGGTCAGTCCAGCTCAAAATTCCTGCGTAGCAAAGTTGGCTGATATTGAACATATCAAGTGCTGACTGATCCATAAAAATATAAGTCTATATATGCCGGATACGTTGCCACAGAGAAAACATAGGGTAAGGGAGGGGGGGGGGGGGAGAACTTTAATGGGGCAGGGGAGAGGCTGAATAGAAATAAAAAAGAATTTATGTGAAATAATATTAAATGCATAACGAAATACTTAAGATGAGAACACCTATATATAAAGGGGGTGGGGACAGCTCCATAAAAATTATGTTGGTGTGTGTGTGTGGGGGAAGGGGGGGGGGTATGCTCAAAATAGGGGGGAGGGGGCTCAAGATTCATGATTCCCAACTGCTGGCACCAATGCACCAAAGATGTTAAAGGGTGCTTTCATTTGTATCTTTCACACAGGAAAGTAACAATAAAATATAAAGCATCTTTTTTTTTAAACACCTTAGGATACATCAGACATTGTTTCTCATCTCATATTTTGTACATACCGATCAACACTTTAAAAATTATGTGATCAAAGTCACGTCGCTCATATTTACTTTCCAAGATATTTCCTGGTACACACTGTAGGCGTGGTGGCTGACAGACAGGGAGAAAGGGTTAGTGTTTAAAATTCACTTTGATGAGGATTGAACTTACGACGAGCAAACCAGCCAATGCTCAACTAATGTTATTGAAATAAGAGAGTTGAGCTGAGTTGACTCAAGAACCGACACTACAGCACTCAGGGCTTTCCCATGTGCACTCCGTCCCCATCTCCAGTAGCCAGTGCAGAGTTCCAATACCAATGGTGCCAGTAGCATTCTGATATGTCTATCTTGCCTTTCTTCTAAGTGTAAAGGGGGATATTTTCACCCAGTTTAGGATGGTTGGGGGAAAGGCCCAAAGCTGACCTAAAACACCGAGATAGTCCAGATACTTGGATTAAACGAGAATGTGGAGATAGGTGACTAACCACTGGTTATCACGGGGACCACGATGATGCGACCCAAGGTCACCACGTGAAAAGTAAAGGACCACCACGTGTTGTCACGTGAAACGAACCCGTGGTAGAAGTCAGACTTGACTCTGGTCAAGTTTAGTTTGTGTCGACCTGTTGGAGTGAGAGGACGTACGATTGAAAGTGAGAATGTCAACGTGAGAGTGATTGTGAAGAAAGGAGACCCTACCGACGAAGTGTGAAGCCGAGATCGACCATGCCAGTGTGTGAGATGACCAGAACCTCAACGTGAATCCATGGGAGCCAACTTTGTTCAGTGAATGCTTGAAGAAGACTGTTCATTGAAGGCTGCGTGAGTTTGGGTAAGAGAGCTGTTCACTAGGACACCGACCGGACATTCTGTTTTGTAAGTGTAAATACGTCAATAAATTCATGTCTCGTAAGCTCACATCGGTGTCGGCCTGTGCCAGTTGTGTAACGTGGAGCGTGTGAGAAGATCTTTCACCCCACACGCATGAACACTGCCTAGACAACGAGAAGAAACACACACCACTTATAACACTAAGCGTCGAGTATCAGCCAGATCCCCTCGTCACCCACTGCTGCATCATTTTCACCAGACTGTGGTGATCCATTTACTCCTCCGAATTGTACAGGTTCTCCCACAAGGTCCTAACCCTGTCTGCCTTATCATGCATCAATATTCCAGAAGCTGTGAGGAGCCAGCCAGTATGTTCATTTCCCATGCCACTCTGCATGAAGTATGCCTGTCCTCACCTTCCTCAGCATGCTTTCTGAGTCTGTTACCACCAGGATAGGTGTGTGTATGCCGTGTTCTCTAACCAGCAAAAGGCTGCAATGACCACCTCCACCTCCATTCCTAAGCTGGATGTTGAAGTGTTGAAGTAAGAGAACAACTGAAAATAAAATTTGTATCCAATAACAGTAAAAGTACTTACACGAGGAAGTGAACCAGTCCCACATTGAAGCTGTACCACAGCTTGTTACCAGGCATGGGCCAGTCAGTTCCAGGCATGGAGAAGGTGTTGCGGTACAGATATAAGCCATCTAGATTATTTGTGGTTGTCGTCGCTAAGGTTTGGCAAAAACACATGTACAAATATAGTTATATTTTCATTCTCAGAGAGTTGAGTAAAGAACTGACACCACAGCACATGGAACATTCCTATACCAGTTCTATCCTTATGTGGAGGTCTCCAAGGTGAAGTGGTCAAGCCGCTGGTAATGTTCTACAAAATAGTTTCATCAGTTTTAATCAATATCTATTAAAGCAGTGCTTCTAACTCTGTAATGTTTAGAAGTCGTGGTGATACTTCTTATTCTTCTTCTCAAGCCTTTTGCATCTGAATTTTTGTAGCTGAAGTTACATAGTTACATAGAGGAGGCATGTCAAAGTGGCGACCTGCAGGCCAAACGAGGCCATGTGTAAGCATACCTGTGACCAACACAAAGGAAATATTCTGCAATAATTTTTACTAAATGACTCTAATTAGCTATCCTGTGTGGCCCTCGTGAAGCTGGAAGTATAATCCATATGGCCCTCGAGGGACCCTCAATTTGACATGCCTGATCTAGAGGGTAAGGTCTCACAGAAATCCTCTAAAACTGCTGCATAAGAAAGAGAAGGACTGGCCTAACTACTCCTGCCAGAGTTTGGGTCTGACCCAAGAGATCTACATTCAAGACAAGCTGTGGCTGACCAGTGGTGACTTTAGACACACTGTCCTGTCTATGACCCAGGTGGAACTGACTGCTTAGCACAGCCAATGTTAACAACCGAAGAAGAAGATCAACCACTGAGTGTGAGTGCCCATTGTATGAGTTTTCAAAAATATGAATTTAGCATCATATGTCCAATGTGCCAAAGGTACAGTTCTTAAGCTGCAAAATGCATATGCAAAAGGCATAAGAAGAAAAAGATGAATCACCATGACTTCTTAAAAAAACACAGAGTTGGAAGCAAAAACAAAACACTGATTAGCACCCATATACTCCAACCCCCCCACCACTAGCACCCACATAATGCACACCCCTGACTAGCACCTACATACTGCACACCCCTGACTAGCACCTACATACTGCACACCCCTGACTAGCACCCACAAACTGCATACCCCTGACTAGCACCTACATACTGCACACCCCTGACTAGCACCCACAAACTGCATACCCCTGACTAGCACCTACATACTGCACACCCCTGACTAGCGCTATATACTGCACACCCCTGACTAGCACCCACAAACTGCATACCCCTGACTAGCACCTACATACTGCACACCCCTGACTAGCGCTATATACTGCAAACCCCTGACTAGCACCTACATACTGCACACCCCTGACTAGCACTATATACTGCACACCCCTGACTAGCACCTACATACTGCACACCCCTGACTAGCACTACATACTGCACACCCCTGACTAGCACCTACATACTGCAAACCCCTGACTAGCACTACATACTGCACACCCCTGACTAGCACTATATACTGCACACCCCTGACTAGCACCTACATACTGCACACCCCTGACTAGCACTACATACTGCACACCCCTGACTAGCACCTACATACTGCACACCCCTGACTAGCACTACATACTCCACACCCCTGACTAGCACTACATACTGCACACCCCTGACTAGCACCTACATACTGCAAACCCCTGACTAGCACTACATACTGCACACCCCTGACTAGCACCTACATACTGCACACCCCTGACTAGCACCTACATACTGCACACCCCTGACTAGCACTACATACTGCAAACCCCTGACTAGCACTACATACTGCACACCCCTGACTAGCACTACATACTGCAAACCCCTGACTAGCACTACATACTGCACACCCCTGACTAGCACTACATACTGCACACCCCTGACTAGCACCTACATACTGCCCACCCCTGACTAGCACTATATGCTGCCCACCCCTGACTAGCACTATATACTGCCCACCCCTGACTAGCACTATATACTGCCCACCCCTGACTAGCACTATATACTACACACCCCTGACTAGCACTATATACTACACACCCCTGACTAGCACCCACAAACTACACACCCCTGACTAGCATTGTGTACTGCACACCCCTGACTAGCACTATATACTGCACACTCCTGACCCACACCCACATACTGCACACCCCATGTGGAGAGCTCACCAGCTGTAAACTCTGGTGGAAAGTTCTGGTTGTTCCTCCACTTCTGGACTTTAGTCTTGTCCCAGAATTGAGTTTTGTGCACACATCCATTTTTCATACCTGCCTATTTGTTTGCAGACTGTTGGTTTTCCTTTGTCTCTCAGGCAGCAGCATGCCAACTTCAAAGGAAACCCCCTTAATTAGTCACTTTCACGACATGCTTGTAAGGGAGCAGTGGAACTATTCTTGTTTCTCAGACAAGGGGTTCCAAAACCCAACACTGGGAGGTCCACTGATAGAACTGCCCATTTCACAGAAATCTTTGATTTAACATCTAATTTTTCCCACTGCAGTCTGATTACCAATACCAATACCAACAACACTAAAAGGCACCACAGCAATAATGATTTCACAGAACATCAAGAACCAAACAGTTCAGTCATCTGATCCAACTGGAACAAAACTGCCAGCATGTGGAGCAGCGGTTCTCAACCTGTGGGTCGTGACAACTTTGGGAGTTGAACGACCATTTCACAGGGGGTCGCCTAGGATCATCGGCAGAAAACACATATTCACTGAAATTATGAAACAGCCACAAAAATAATGTTATGGTTGGGGGTCACCACAACATGAGGAACTGCATTAATGGGTCGCGTCATGAAGAAGGTTGAGAACTGCTGATCTAGAGTGTAATACTTGAAAACAACAGGTTACAATGCAAGAGGCTGACCAAGAAAGACACTGATGGATGGTGTAAAAAAAGACACTATAGAAACAAAATATGACATTACCACAAGCTACACAATTATCAAATGACAGAAAACTATTTATAATTCCTCTTCTCCTTGTGGGTTCCGGGGCCCTATTATAGGGAAATCAAGAATAGACCCACTGCCTACCCAAAAGCATGTCGTAAGAGTAGACTAATTAGGAGCTTCCTTCGAAGTCGGAATGCATCTGCCTGAGATGCAAGAAACCAGCAGTCTGCATACAAATGAGTCAGATTTGTAAAATGGATGCACACACAACACTCAGGTTCTAGAACAGGACTGCAGTCCAGAAGTGGACAGACAACCGGAACTTTTTACTGGAGTTTACAGCTGGTGAACGTGACGAAGAAGAAGAAGAAGAAGAAGAAGATAATTCCTCTCTGCGAACTTTCTGGCATTAGCAGTAGAACAAAAGAAGAAGATTCTGATTACCTTTCTTTCCTGGTACAGTCATCAAAGGTACATATCCTGCTGCCTGCTCCAAATCTGACAACAATGCATCACCGCTCTGAAAGTGGTGAACAAATTGTACAGTATAAATTACATTCTCTATCAAACATAAACTCTTACAAATGAGCCAAGATAGTGCGGCACAGTGGTTCGCAACCTTCCTAATGCCACGACCCTTTAATACAGTTCCTCATGTTGTGGTGACCCCCAACAATAAAATTATTTTCATTGATACTTCAAAACTTCAGTGAATATGTGTTTTCCGATGGTCTTAGGTGACCCCTGTGAAAGGGTCACTGACTCCCACAAGGGTCGCGACCTACGGGCTGAGAACCGCTGGTATCTAGGTTAGATGCTTCCCTGCTAGCCCAAAGGTCTTGGGTTCAAATCCACACTAAGATAGATGTTGTTTTTTTTTTTTTTTTTCAAAATTTACTTAAGCTCCCAGGCTGACCACACCTCCTATTTTGTGCTAATTGGTCTATAAAAATATAGGTCTAGCCCTATATGCCTAAAAGGACCTTTACTTTTTTTGCTTTTAGCTGCATATCTGTGATCAACCCCAGCATTTTTTGTATGTGGCTGTTTGTGATTTCACTAAGTAATTTTTATGTTCACTAGTTTGCCAGTGTTTCTGAATGGTCAGCTCTTGACACCACCGTCAAAACTCACACAAGGCAGCCTGCTGCCAAACTGTCCATAGATGGGTCAAACATGGCATCTTGGAATTATGAAGCTCGTTCACACAACGCCTAAGCCACAACGCCTAAGCTGACATGTAAAAAAGCTCACTCAAAGGCAGCTTTTCACAAAATAAAGAATGTTCTATGCAATCTATCCTTGTCACTGACTGACTTTCTACCCCACCAGGGCAGCACACAAGCGATAAACACCAGATGACACAATGTGCCACCATGCCTTCAGCCATTAGACCATATTTATGGCCGAGCTATATTGCGGCCCCTGGCAAGAGCCAGGGTGGGGCTTCAAAATAATAAAAAATTACACATCACAAGGAGATTGCTGTATACAGAGAGAGTTCTTAAGAACTTTATACAGCCAATTCTGATGTGCGGAAGTGAATTATGGACAGTCAGCTGATTAGTCAAAAATTATCTAATGCCGCAGTAATGTAATTTTAGATATAAACGGAGAGAAAACTAAGAATGATCCTCCACAAGATTCACACACTGTGCTTAATGCGTCCTCATACATGTTAAAGTTGGTTAGAACAGGCTAAAGAAATCTGGTTGCCCTAGTGGTCATACCCACTGTCTTTAAACTCTATCTAGCGCTAATAATCAATCCTTATTTACAAACCCTTCTTGTTATGAAACATTAAAAGACAGGTTAGTTGAAGACAAAGTCTCTTGCAATGAATGTCACAGTATTCCAAAAAATCTACATCAGTGACTTTTATTGCCACTCCAAACAGACAAATTTACATAGATGACATCAAACAAAACCCACCTGATCTACCCCTGATAACAGAACATCCTCCAGATCTCCACCATACAAAACTGCACTGTATTTCCCAGACTGAGCGTCAGTGATGACAGATTGCATCATTTTTCTTTCTGTGTCGATATTACTGACAACTAGAAAACTCTGACACCAGCTCTATAATGTTAAAAAAAGTGAAGTATAAAAGACATTGGAGCATTTCATGCATTAGGCATATGATGCTACACCCATATTTTTATACACCACAGAGCACTCAAAGGATGATGTGGCCAGCCACATTTACTTCCCAGGATATTTCCACATACGCAATGCGGGCACGGTTGACCTGGAAACCTGATGTCAAATGTAATAATCTTCCTCTATGTGGATCTGAATGTATGATCTTTGAACCAATGAGCTGCTTCTCTTCCTGCTTTACCACCTTGTGTGTCATAGGAGATATTAGATTTGTTTCTTGTTCTTACGGCAGCACCGACCATAGACACAGTGTACTGTAGTAGTTTCTCTTTCGTTATCTTTCCATCTTATTCTTAGTCAACCCTGTGCTCTATGTCCTTATCCTCTTTTGGTGTTTGGTATGGCATCACAAGACATTTTTTTCTAAGTGGACAAATCATTTGATTTGGTATCTTTGTCTGTAATTCAGAACTGGTTCTGTGCAACCCTTTTATCTTATGACCTCATTCCTGATTTTACCACTTCTGGTCATTCCAGCAGCCCTTCTCAGACATCTCATTTCCATAGTATTAATTTCCTTTTCTGGTTTTTTGTGAATGAACATGACTGGCACTGGTAGCGCAGGGTTGGAATGAATACACTTAGTATGAGATGTTTGTCTTGCTGACTGTGACTGTATTATGCTGTAAGAGGGGGTGCTAGCTGTCCAAATACTTGGTTTGCTTTATTGCATCTGATGTTAATTTCTTCACTTATCACTGAGCTAATGTTGCTAACTCTATAAATATGAAACAAAGTTCCAGTGAAGCTTTTGATTTGTTACATAGCGCCTCCATTGCATATGGAGCTCCAATCTCTTTCCATAGATCAGACAAAGAGGACAAAAGCTTCACAGCAATGATCAAATACCAATATAAGAATATCAAAATCCACATTTATCAGACACAGTCTGTTCTGAATGAGTTTACTATGCTCAATAACATTAGCCGGGGTAGAAGCCTAGTTAGCCTACTTTGTACAACTTATGTCTGCTGATGGACTTTGTTCATGCCAAAAAAAAAAAAAATGCTGAGCATCTAAATCATTACCCAAGGATCCAGTTTAGTTAACTCACCTATTATGGCATAGCACACACATACATACACACATACCCACACATACACATAAATAGATATAGTGTATGTGCATGTGTGTGTGCGCATGCGCTCGTGTGTCTATGTCTGTGTGTACATGCGTGCGTGCATGTGTGTGTCTCTCTCCCCTTCTCTCTCTCTCTCTCTCTCTTTCTCTCTCTCTCTCTCCCTCCTTCTCTCTCTCTCTCTCTCTGTCTCTCTCTCTCCCCGCCATGTGCGACCTGCCTGTAATGACGGCAATGGGTCTATTCTTGCTGGTCCCAAATTGGTGCCATGGAACCCACATGGGGACTCTTACCATTACCATACGTACACACAAAACTGCAAACACCCTGAGCTGATCACAGACATACTGACATACACACATACTGGACAACAGACCTCGTTGCCTGAAGCAGGAACTGTGAAGAAAAAGGACCCAGTTCCAGTACTAGCCTTCACGTGGGGACGGAAATAATATGTTGTTGATGGCAACAAGTCCTGTATAAAAATGACATCAATAAGACAATGACATCATAATCATCTCATCTTGATTGCAAGGTCAAGGTGAAGTGTAAACTGTGGCGGAAAAGGGGGCGTTGCCCACCAGTATGCTTCATATGTGGGGATTCCCATGGACTCTGTTATTCTGTCTGTCTATCAATTGCATTGTCTGCTTCTCTTTCAATTCCCACTTGGTCTGTACATCACTGTTCACTTCGTATAATGTCTGTCTGCTGCTAAGTTAAATGGTCAATCCATTTTACTTGTATAACTCTCAGAATCACAGACGTGTGTTTTATATGTCCATTAAGTCAAGCCATTGCAAGTAAAGAGTCTGCAATTCTCATGAAAACTGTGACATCTCACTATTGGGCTCTCTCCATCTCCTAGAGGCCTGAATGTCCCACACAGTTTTATTCTCAAAATATTTTGAGTTATATCCTTTGTCGTAAGGTCACACAACCGTTTCCTGGACAGAGCTGATATCATCAAGGCTGTATCGACTAGGTTGGGGGATAATGGTGAATCTATGATGCTAACACGACTGCGTGACCAAGGAGTTGAGCTTGGTGAAGCACGTCTATGTCGTCTTCCAGGTAAAGACAGGAGATTATAACCAATGCCTCATGGGAACAATCAGCAGAGGTACCTTAGAGTAGCGGCTGCATCTGAGGACTGAGCACCCATGGGGATGCCCAATGTGCAAAGCAGCACATGTTTACTATCAACTGGTGCCTGTCAATACAGGCAAAGTTCTGAGTCCTTCATCTTAAATTTCTTGTACATATAGCTGTCTATTGTGTCCAGCCAAGCCATCTGACTTGCTCTCTGAAAGCGGTGGGTATGTTTTCATACTGTATTGTTTGTTTCACTAATGATACTGCTTTAGATATGCTGGTGGTCACCAATGGAGCTTCAGAGTTCCAGCTCTGTGTGACAACCTCAGCCAGCCACTCTTGGAAGAGACCAAACCTGATAATATAAAACCTGGCGCAATGAAGTTTATATTTTGCAAAACTTTACTACTGGACTCACACTTTCCACTTTTCAGCTAATGGAATTCAGTCAACATCAACCTTTAAGTTGAGTCAATTAATTGATTAAAAATTATTTGGAAGATGCAGAAATGTGACTTTATGGAAGAATGATAAGAACACCAGGGACAGACACAAGTATAATGAAGATGTCTTGAAATTAATTAATTTACAAAGAGAACTGGTTACTCATATCATAAGGAACAGTCCACATTTTTTAGGCATGTCATGAAAAGAAAACTGGACAATAGGAAAATTGGAGTAATAAAGAAGCAGGGAGAGACCAATAAAGTGGATGTGAGAGAGAAGACCTAACAGCAAGGAGGAATACCTGGATTAGAAATGTGTGGCAATAATACAAGACAGAAGGTCATGGACAGCAATAATGACCAATGCTTCATAGCATGGAAGAGAATGTGTTCAATGAGTAAAACAAAAACAAAGCAAAACAAAAAAAAAGGCAACTAAGGTTGGGTGCAGTGTATATATGCATCCATTGTTGTCTTTTGGAAATGTTATATGGTTATGCCCCAATCTCCTCCATGGTGTGACTCTCATACCACTGTCCAAGAGCCCTGAAACTGGATTTTATTAAATCACTTGGTGCAGAAATCAAACTCAGGTACATTGCAGACTGTGAAACATGTTCATTAAAGATGACCGCACTTACCTTCAGCACAACTCTGTGTATAAATGGAAAAGTTCCATTCAAGGATTCATCTAGCTGTATATGTTTGCCAACAGCTTCCATGTTCAAATCCCATGGATGAGGTGCATAATGAACACCTGTTTCACAGGAGCCTTTTGTACTCCACATCACATTCATCTCAGTTGTTGAGCTACCATAGGATATGTGGACTTGCTGAGGTTCACACAGCACTGAAACATTACATCACAAACTTAATAAAGCTGGAAGAGATGACATGTTACGGTCTAAAACATTTATTCAAGTTGATCAGTCTAAGCAAGTTAAAGAAACCTTTTTCATTAACAACTGTCATGATTTATGATCAGGCGAAAATTACAACAACCGCTAGTAGTCAACAACAATAAACAAAAAGATCAGAAATTAAGACGAAGCTGAAAGGAGTTCACTATGAATGAAACAGAATTAAATAAAGTAAAGGAAATATTTTGCACTGTCATAAATGTATTTATTGTTCAATTTGATTTTGGGGGGGGGGGGGGGGGGGGGGGGGGGGGTAATGGTTCAACCAGCTGAGTACAGCCTTGGTTTTAACTGTGGTCTGTGGTTCGTGATGTTTCTTCTTTCACACGTTTTTGTGGCAGATAAGTCCCGCTCTCTACTCCTTTCTTTGCCACCATGTCGGCTGGTGTTTCTGAGGCTGTAAGGCTTGCACTGTTATGAGATATTTGGTAAAGTCTTGACAAAGACTAGTCTGACAAAGATCTGTTTTATTTTCATGCGAGGGCAAGCAGGTGTGCAAGGAAAAGAGCTAGTTTGCAGGTAAGACTACTGTGAAGAGCTGAGAGCCATGAGCTAATATACTGAATGCTCTATGAGAAGTAAGGCGCTTGTGAGAACCAAGTGACTGTGAATCTGCAACCATGACCACACTGCAAGGACAGCAAGTTTAAAGGGGTTTGGCCAGAGCAAAGCACAATATAGGCAGCCAAAGAAGAAGAATAAACAAATACAGAATGGTGTCATCAGCATCTACACGCTGCAGGATTTACTGAGGAGGGGATCCGAGCACTTATGGACTGAAGGGTTCCATGTGCAGTGAGGATAATTTGTCAACTAAGAGAGGGAGGGAGGGAGAGAGAGAGAGAGAGAGAGAGAGAGAGAGAGAGAGAGAGAGAGAGAGAGAGAGAGAGAGAGAGAGAGAGAGAGAGAGAGAGAGAGAGAGAGAGAGAGAGACAAAGTATTATAACTCATCAAGTTTACAGTGACCAGATAAGTCATTCTTGTGCCTCAACAACGGACTTAAATGTCTTGGACTTGGAGGTGAAGGGGTGGGGGCGCTGTGCAGGCTGGAGGGGAGGAGAGTCAGAGTGAGACCGAGAGAACAGATGCTGGACATTTTGACATCATGGCATGGAGGATCATCTCTGTCAAGAGTTGGTTGAATGTACACAAGACAGAAGGTTGTGGAAGACATGACTACCAACACCACAGGAAATGGACTTTAAGAAGAAGAGGTCAACATCAAATCTGCCTTTTACTTCTGAGTGGACTATCAGCAGCAAAGATAGTCTGCCAAGATAGCCCACATTGCTCTCACAAAAGATTAAACAGGGATTTTCCTTGTATAACTAATTCAGAACCTCATAAATAACTGTCGCATTGTATTTAATGCATTTTGGTCAAATCCAGCCCGATTTCATGCCATAACTTTCCATCCTCTTTCTAGTCTCATTAAAAATTTGCAGACAACTAAATTAACATGGCTAATTAATAACTTCAGACAGCATGAACAAGTCTACAAGAAAACTTACTGCCATCCATCCCTGACATCTCTCTTGCCATTCTCTGGATATAAGAGACATCATTCTCTACCGAGCTACTCCTCTCTGGATACAGAACAATCAATATACACAGCAGACAAAATCTCTTTGCTGAACTGAGACACTGCATTCTGAAGAGCTGAAGATATTCTTATCTGGATAAACAGATGAAAGTTCATAATTAGAATTACAAACAGTAAGAGGTATATTCTTATATTATGTAACCTTAAAAAAAAAAAAGACTTGATTCCATGCCATGAAGTCTACTGAAGCAGCAGCTCTATACTTTACAGATAATCAGTATTTAATGGGTGATGTGTTCATCATAACTGACTCACAGAGAGAACTGACTGCCCACATCAGAAAGAGACAATCTACATTCCTTGGTCATGTGATGAAAAGGAGAAAACTGGAGTACATGGTGACAGTGGGAAGGTTGGAGGGGAGGAGAGGCAGAGTGAGACTGAGAGAAAAGATGCTGGACAGTTTGACATCACGGCACAGAAGATCATCTCCATCAGAGTTGACTGAAAGTACACAAGACAGAAGGTTGTGGATAGACATGACTACCAACACCACAGGAAATAGACTTTAAGAAGAAGAAGTGGTCAACATTAAGTCTGCCTTTTACTTTCCGCATTTTCTGATACAAATTGTTAGACTAGGTTGACACTGGTGCCCAGACAAATTCTCAAAACCTGATGGGGATGCAAACCTAGAACCAGTGGTCAGACAGTCAATATATTTTATGCTGTACATAAATCACTGTTTTTTTCTCCTCGTGCGGTTCCATTTTGGAGAACAAGGAATAGATTAATTTTTTCATGGAATAAGGTCTATTTTATACAAAGAAGCCTACAAGTGATAGCCTTATCTTTACTGAATTTCCTGCTGTCCATCTTTCTTTCTCAGAAAATTTCCTGGAGCCAGTTTTAGGCCCCAATCAACTTAACAGCCAGGGTCAATGAAAATAATGCTCTGTGAGAGGAACCTGAACACATGACTGCCGGTACTAGCCAATTCCTCTGCCTTCTTGCTGTGGCTAAAAAGTACCAGTGGCTGGGCTGTGAAATTATGTAATCATCATCATCATGCTGTGCCATTTATATGTCAAAAAGGGCTCACAGACTATTCCTTCATTATCATCTGTCCTTTTCTATATCATGGAGTTTTGATTCTCTCATCAACATTGTGTCTTTGAGTTTCTCTTGGAAGTCCTCATTGTCCACAACTGATTTGTTTCCCCACAGCTTCCTTGTTATGGATACAAGGTAACAGTGTTGCCTTGTAAAGTGATTTGCCTTCTTATGTTCTAGTCCATTATTTATGAGGTAGGGTTGTTAGTTCTTGACCTCTCTGCCAATTCTAACAACAATTCTCAGAAAATTATTTGTTTTGCATTTCGATTTGAAATGTAATAAAAGAATAAACATTGGTGCCTTTTAATAAAAGAACTAAACCTGGTGCCATGTGAAAAAAAAGAGCTAAAATCGTGTTGCACAAGATAGTATTAAAAATGGGCCATTATTATTAAAAAAGGCCAAAACTGGTGCCTTGTAAGGAAGGAGCTAAAATGGGTGTCATAAAAAGGAGTTAGGGGTGGGGTCAGAAAGAGGGGGGGGGGGGGGCGCCTGCTACCTTGTCATGAAAGAGTGAAAACTGATGCCACATAAAAAAGTTTTCAAAACTGTGGACATGTAACAACAGAGTTAAAACTGGTGAAAGTAGTTTTAAAAAACTTATGCCATGTAATGAAGAAGCTAAAACTGATGCTAAATAATGAAATGGCATATATATGTGCTATATAATGAAAGAGCTAATATTTGTGCTTTATAATGAAAGAGTTAAAGCTGGTGCAATTTAAAGGAAACAGCTAAGGATTAAAATAAAGAACAGTGTGAAAAAATGAGATTATGTAAATACCTGCTAGCAATATTCACAAGATGGTGGCTGCTTTCATTTCAAAGTAAAACTGGACCACAGAGAGGTCCAAAAAACTTCCACAAACTGATTGTTCTGGCAGTACTGAAAGCGTCCAATGCTTTCCCTAAGAAGTATCATCAATTAGTATTCATATAAGAGAAATCATTCATACAAAAGTTATCTTTTTTCTTATAACTAAATTATTTAACTCTTTGATGATTAATCGCCAGTCAAACTGGCTTCTAAATTTATCCTGACTATCAACCAGTATACTGGCAAATCATAGAGACACCATAATTTTGTTTTGTTTGCGTGGAAAAACTAATTTTTATGAAAATGTTTTGAAAAACTAAGTCTTTTCATTTGTGAAGTTCCGCGTGGATTTAACTCTTTGAGTCCCAGGGAACGCATCACGCGCTAATTTGTTTCAACCTAGCAGCCCAAACAACGCATGACAAGTGAAGGTTTTTAATCTACCACTGGCCGGTTGTAAAATGCAGACCCCCCAATTTCAACTTCCTTCTGAGTTCTTTGTGTCTGATATCAAGCGTGTTCATTTAGAAATGTGGGTTGAAAGTATATATAGTATATATGTGAGATTTCCGAGTTACTGTTTGTTTGAAAAGAATATTGCCGCCAAGAACTATTCTACGTACATTCCAAAGTGATTTACGACCTTAGAAGCCTAAAATTTAAATAAAGTAAGCTTGTTTGTTTTTAGATTTATCCGAAGGTAGACAGATAACGTTGCGAATTAGGCGCGTTTCAATTATTTATAAAGTCTAACTTTGATGAGGGATATGTCTAATGTGTACCTCATGCGAGGGGTACAACGATATCAAAGTCAGCTGACACAAATAGAACAGACTTTATTGAAAAGACTATTTTCTTCAGTGTCAGTTAGTTCTAGTGCTATTCCTCTTATTATTTAGGAACATAGCTACAAAATTACAGGCAAATTGAGTGTTAGATAGACTTCGTTTTGCGTGAAAATACTAATTGTTTTGGGAGTCAGTTTTCTTTACCAAATAATAGTGCTCTGTTATAATGCTTCAAAAGGTTCTCTGGAACAAAATCTAATGTATAGATTGAGTTTATATTTTACTTACACATTACTAAGTGGTTCATATTTATTTGTGATTCATTTTGGATACAATTTAACCAGTTTTTCTTGAGTGCCATGGTGGTAAGTGGAAATTGTTTATTTTTTTATTTTACTAATTTTTGTAAACACACCATCTGTTTATTCACCAATTTTTAATTACTTACGCAATTATTTGTTGTAGCTCTATACTAAAATTATTCCTCAACAATCCCTGGTCACTTTGATGTATAATATGTATATGTTGCGCAGCAACTAAATTAGTATGGTCTGTTTTAATGTCTTAGACTTGTGAAATAAAAAAAATTGCATTACCACCCCTTGGGCCTCTGATGCTTAAACCCCTGGGACTCAAAAAGTTAACGTCACTTTTTGACTAACAAAA